TGGAGTGACTGGCCCACCCACCTCTTTAGCTTCACCTCTTCCCATTCAGTATAAAGCATAAGCTCTGTGCCTTATAATGAAGACACATGCCCATCTTGCTGTTGTCCTTGCCAAGTGTCTTGCTGTTAACTACATCTAATGAAATTTTTTGAGCTCTTATATCCAGTTAGTATACCTCTAGACTTTTCAACTATAGTTGTCAATAAATTCCCATGTTTACTTAAGTCAATTTAGGCTGGATCTAGTCACTGGATAGTAAAAGAATCTTGTCTAATAATTATTCCTATTTTTTTAACCATTTCTCATACACATAGATCCTGAGTATTTCCACCATTTTCATCACTCTTCCCAAATATCTATTTCATCCACATACTATTTAAACAGTAGGGACCAGTGATCTAACTGGTTTATACATGAAACAGTGTAATTTTTCTCTAATAATGAATACAGTCCATCAACTAATGCAGATCAATGTCAAGCCAGTGATATTTTCAATAGAAACACCACATATGAGTTAATGCAATAAATTAGTTTATTTTTACTCTTAAGTCTTTATCATAAACACTTTTATCAAACTAAGATTCCCCGAATTCTGTAAGTATACTGCTGAGGTTTTATAACAAAGACAAATTATAAACTTATACTTAGTGTTGTGAGAAAAGCATGGTTTAGGAGTAAGACAGAGCTGAGTTTGAATTCTGATGCCATCATCTTTTAGCTTTACAAACTTACATAACTCTTTACTCTCATCAAGAGTTGATTTATACAGCTATAAAATGAGGTTAATATTCTTCTCTTTGTGGTATTGTTGTAAAAAAATAAGAAAATATATGTGAGAAACCAAACACATCTAATGAAATTATTTGTCCCAAAATGGTAACTACTCTACAATCCCTCTTGAGCTCTTTTCTTTAGCTCTCCAAGACATTTTGTTCCCCAAATATTTAATGCAATCATATCACAATCTCTCCCAGATATTTGAATTTCACAAATAAAGTAAAGGAATCCATTGAATTTAGGGTTTAAACATTTGCACTCCAGACAGGCAAAATAAATGACTAAAAAAGTTGGCTTTAAAACAAATTGTGGCAGAAACTGTGATAAACCACACAACAGATAGTCCATCTAAAGACAGCTTCCATTCAACTCCAGGTGATATTATTATGGGGAATATGGAGAAAGTATTTTAATTTTTGTAAGAAACAAAGGAACCTGAAGTTTCACTAAGTGTCTGCTCATTTAAAAATATTTTTCATTGATTGATTTTTTTCCTAGAAAGAAAGAGAAACCATTTATTGCTCACTTTTTAATGCATTTATTGGTTGATTCTTGTAGGTGCCCTGATTGAGGATCGAACCTGCAACTTTGGTGTATCTGGTTGATGCTCTAATCAACTAAGCTACCTGGCCAGGGCTCTACTCATTTTTAAATGCTGCTGGATTTCTATTCAGAATTTATTAACTGTTTGCAGGTCCAGCAAAGATTAGATGGTCGACAGGCAGCCTGTTTGTGACCTTGACACTTAAGCTTCATCCAAGTCATTCATTAAAAATAACTAGCATAAATTAAAATATTTTTAATTAAAAATTTACAAAAAACCGATAGCATAATTTTATATATTTTAACTTTTATGTTAATGAGTTATGCTCAAGTATTCTGGAACTTGTTTATCATTATGTCTTGATATTTATCAAATTTGATACATTTTAACTGCTTTATAGTAGCCCAGTGAATGACTATTCTTAATTTTTTATTAATTATCCTACTGTGGTTGGTAATTTAGATATTGTTGTGGCTGTGACAAATACTGTAATAAATATTCATATATATGCATCTTTTTGCTCAAAAATAAGTGTTTTTACAAGGTCTATAACTAGAATTGGAAGTATGAAACAATAAAATTTGTGCATCCTTGAAAAAAATATGACTAGCAAAAAAGGGCAAAGACAGACCTTTTAATATCTCACTAGAACCCTCAAGTTAAAAGATCCAGAGCACCCCTCTACTCAACAGCACTCCCTCTATCCCTGTATCACGCATCATCCCAATTTGGCCCCCATATCCCTTTTCTACAACACTACCTATCAATTTCTTGAGACAGTTATTCATGCTGCCTCTGAGCCTTCATATACTGGTTCCACTGAGGTGTTCTCCTGGTGTATAAGTCTATCTTTACCACCTTTATTCCAAAATGGGAGTAAATTCATGAAATGTGAAATGGCCCTCTTCCCATTCTGGTTATTGATTTATAGCATATGCTCAAACTATTAGGTAGTTTTAAAAGGGTAAAAATCTTTTAGAAAACTGGAAGAAACAAGACTAAACATACTTTTTAGCATATTAAAGTACATTTTCAAAGGTAAGCTTTTATGTTATGGTGGATATTGTTTGACTAGTGGCATTTGATTTAAAAAGTTGCATTAGAATTGCTTTGACTGCCTAACATACTGCTTAGCAAGTAACTCTAAGTTATTTGACATGGGCATATTTTATCTCCAATTAGTCTACAATCATTTTAAAGTTCTATATATTTTTCATCTCCCCACAGAGTTTAATAAACATCTGTCAGACTGACTGATTCAGAATGCTTTCATAATTACTGCTAAGAAAAGTGCAAAACATTTCAAAACCAGTATCTGTTTAGAAGCTAGAATTTTCAGCATCATTTTCGTTCCACAGTATTTTAGCTAAACATTACAGAGCATTCATTCAGAAGTGTTATTTAAAAAGGAGAAAACTTCTGTTAAACTTTACTGACAATACAGAAGTAATATTGTTAAATAATCCAAGTTGAATTCAACCATAAATAAATAAACTTTACATCAGTCTACTTAATCCATAGTGTAGTAGAACAGTAAGATTACAGTACTCTAATAGAAATTTATTTATTTAATAGTGGTTGCTTTAAAGATGTAAGGATTATGTGTCATTTGAAAATATAAAAGCATAATTTATCAATATAGCTGAAGAGAAGTGCTCCTTTACCATCCTGCTATATGATAAAAATTATTTCACAAAGCAAACATTAGAAGGAAAAATTAATTTAAAATGTAATGGGTTAAAGCAGATTTCTGAACACACCATCCACAAACCATATATGACTCACATAATAGTGGATATAAAATGATTACACATTATCCCTCATGAGCTAGTTTGTAAAGAAATATTTATGACAAAGAGGGAAGTCATCAAGTACAAATGTAATAAGAAGACTGCATTTGTGGACATACTGGAAAGAGTAAATATTCAAAGATGTTGTTTTTCAAAGGAAAATGGTAATTATTGGAACAATTGAAGCAACTGAAGCAGAACTATGAGAGAAATATGGACCCTTGAAACAGGAACCCTCCTAAGAATGATAGCCACCATTTATAAAGTGCTTTAAGAGAACTATACAGATAATTTTCAGAGGCAAAATTTAAACCCATGTCTCTCTGACTCAAGACCCATGTGCACTGTGTTATGATACCCATCTCCAAGTCTTCCCAATAAAGCGTATGAAAAAAATCCTCAAAAAGCATTAGTGATTGTGAAACAAGCCAGAATTAAGGCCATCCCTTTAACTACATGAGCTAAAGCTTCCAATGAGCATTAGTAAAAACTTTTAAATGCCTCTATGGACTTCATTATCATTAATATATATTTCAATCTATTACAGATAATATTCTTGAAGATGTTAACATGTTTTTCCATTTTTGCTCTTTCTTTATGTGATCTTATCCTATTCAACCTGAGGCACCCCTTGTCTAAGAGCATCATTACTCTTATGGTAGAAATTCAAAGAGAAAAAGTCAATTATCAATTTCTAACTCTTAAAATATACTCTTAATTCATCCATTCAAAAACACTATCTCAATCAAGAGCCAGCTAGTTTTCTGTTTATGGGTCTATAATCCAGTTATCCCCTGAGAATGTAAGCTACGTAAGGGCAAGGGTCATACGTGTGTTTTCTTTAGGTATGTAGGTACTCCATCAATATTGTTAAATGAAGTGATAAAAAAATAAATAAATAAATGTGGTGACAGAAGGAAACGGTTACCCTCTTCACACTGCTTCTCTTCCTGCTGACATCTCTCATGTCACTCTCAATTCCGCCATGACTAGGCAAAAGGACTATGCGTCAGGCAACGAAGGACATAGGAGGTATAGTCCTACACAGCAGTTTGCAAAGAGTTTAAAGACAGATTAGAAAAAGAAAAACCTTAATTTAGGAGAAAGAAGAGTAGATTTTTAAAAACTATTGTAGCTTCTCAATGCTGGATCTTCCAAGTCAGGAATCAAAGTAAGAAATGCCTATGTTCTATAAAACATTGTATAAAATGTATTTTCTGAGTTGAGGCATTTAAAATGTACTAGTAACTATGATACATAACTGATGAATCCTTTTAGGAGCATTAATATTAGATGAAAATTAGAATTTTTATCTACTGAGTTTTCATGAAGCAGTATAGTCATTTTTAATTGACATGAGACACACTATAGGATTTCATCATTTTCACAAATGATGCATAAACAGACAATCAGGCAAAGGTGATTAGAAAAAATAAATAAATCCACTGCTTACATTTCCATGAAAAACTGACCTTAACAGATTTCTCAAAAAAAATCTTTTAGTTGAATTTGAGTTAAAATGATTACGCTCAAGGAAACTTAAAAAAAAAAACAGTAACAGAGAAAGTATTTGTATAAAACTCTACAAGAGTATGCACTTAAGTTGATTAGTCAGTAACTTTAAAGAGAAGAAATTTAGTATAATTATATATAATACATAATTTTTTTTGTTTTAATTACAAATAATTATATTATTTGACAATGCTTGGATCTCTACATAATATGGGAAAAACTTTGTTTTTTAATAAAAGCATATTAACCAGCCTATTAATAATAAGTTTCCTAATGTAGTATCAAATTTTGAAATTTGAAAAACTACATTCCTCTTATGTTACAGATTAATACTTGTTCTCAGAACTATTTCCAAAAAGGAAAAAAAAAATTCTTACCAGACATAAACTGTGTAATAGAGGATAATTCCATTTGGCTCCAGCGGTGGTTGCCATGACAACTTCACCGTGACACCAGACAACTGTTTTACAGAGAAGTCATGGGGGGGAGAATCAGGAGCTGAAAATTTAGAGTATAGGATAATTTATTTTATTAAGCATATATTAAAAGGCTAGAATGAAGATGCACAAAATTTTTATTATAAGCTTTCTGGTAAATGAATCAAGTACAGCCCTTTTCTCCATGGGCATGGGAGACTGATGTTTACTCTCAAAATTAGATGATAAAAGAAGATTTTGCATGGTGGTGTTAGAACATCTGTTTCTGTGATTCAATGGAAAAGAACATTTCATGAGAAAAAAGAACAAGGGGTATGTCATGGTGATTCACCTACTGCTTAAGTACATCTTGGTAAATTATTGTTCTCTAATAAAAATAAAATTAAGTGGTGAATAAATATAATATGCAGTAAAAAAGCTACCCCCCCAGTAAAAATAGATGGAAAAAAATCACACATCTAAGAAGTGGAAAAGTGATAAGCATAACATTGGGAGAGCAGTTAAAATGACTGACCCCACAAACAAAAACCTACATTCCTCGATTTCATTTGTGTCAATAAAATGTAAAATAATATCAAAATCTGCTCACTTAGCCTTCAAAATTGAATGGTTAACAAAGGAAACACCAATGCAGCACATAAACAGGAAAGTACAGTTTAGGGTCTATTTCTAATTTTGCTATAACAATGTAAGGATTCAAATACGTTAGCGATTCTACATTGAATAAGTACTAAAAAATATTGCTGTAAACTAGCTAGCCAAGTTTACATTTCTATTTAGATAAAACGTTTGGAATGGCATTTCTCAGCTACTATAATAATGTCTTAGGTTATTAATATATAACTTTTTGCATATAAAAGGATATAAATTACTAAAACTTTGATCATTGTTATAGTTTTACATGGCAATTAAATAGGAAGCTAATAGGAATTCTGAGAAAATTTTGGTATATTTGAACAATGTTAATACATGTATATGTCATTTTTTCTAATAATTTAGAGAAAATGCTACCTGGATTATTTTAATTTTTATTTCCTGAGCAATCTCAGTTATAGTTGTTTGTATCTTTGTATTTTCATTGTTTTGGTAGCAACAGTTTCTCAAAAAAAAGAGTTTATTGAGCAGAGAAAAGGTTTATGAGAACAGTTCTAAGGAATAATGGTGACAGCTGTATTTATATTTTCATTAGGTATTCCCACTGGCACTATAATAAAAATGCTATCAAATACTGATTATCACAAGAATCCATATATCATTTGGAGATGTCTGTTTCCCCAAGACATGTGTTACCTCTAACTGAGAACTCTCATTTGTCAAAACAAATACCTATGATATTTTCCCTAATGTCTTTGCAAAACTTAACTTTTGTTTATTATTGGAAAAAAAGATTTTGATCAAAAATAACACTACTTTAGAACATATGTTGTAACTAAGCATTTCTTTCAATACTATGCTTTAGGATACTTCTGTGAAATATTAGATAATTCTTGGTGTTTTACATTTAATCTTTCTATATTTTGGGGTAATTTTTTGTAAAATTTTGTACTGATTAATAAATGTAATCAGCATGCTTATGTAAACAAAATATTGCATATCTAGTATAACAGGCTGTTTTAATAATTTTGGCATTTGTACGCTAAATTATAATCGCAAAAAAAATAAAATTGGAAAAATTCAAAAAATAAATGCAATATCTTTTGCAGTCTATCTAATTCAGCATAACAGAGCTTGCCTTATCACTGAGTGATTCCACTTCTGGAAATATATCTGAAGAAACCCAAAACACTAACTCAAAAGAATATATGCACCTCTAAGTTCACTGTAGCATATTTATAATAGCCACGCTAAGGAAGCAACCGAAGTGCTCATCAATAGATGAGTGGATAAAAAAAATGTGGTACATATATACAAGGGAATATTACTCAGCCACAAAAAAGAATGAGATCTTACCATTTGCAATAGTATGGATGGACTTAAAGGGTTATGTTACGTGAAATAAGTCAGACAGAGAAAGACAAATTCCATATGATTTCACTTACACGTGGAATCTTAAGAACAATATAAATTAACAAACAAAATAGAAACCCACTGATTGATACAGAGAACTAACTGATACTTGCCAGAGGAAAGGGGGAGAGGAGAACTGGGTATGAAAGGTAAAGACATTGAAAAGTACAGATTGGTAGTTGCACAATAGTCATGGGGATGTAAAGTACAGCATAAGAAATATAGTCCATAACATTGTAATTACTATGTACAGTGAAGTAGGTACTGGAAACCTACTGTTGAGGGGAACATTTTGTACAGTATAGTGATTTTCTAATCACTATACTGTACACCTGAAACTAATACAAAATAATATTACATGTAAACTATAATTGAAAAAAATTTTAATTAAAAAATGCAAATTTGGACAGGTAAATATTAGTGGAGAAAAAAAGCATCATAAGTAGAGACAATAAGTAAGAAAGACTAACCTCTAAGAAGACTTAGAAACTGGGGCAACCCTACCACCATGCTTTGGTGAAGTAATTTGGTGGAGGTGAGACAGTGAGAGACCTGAAATGGGAGAACAGGGTTCCAAAGACTTTATTATGGTGAATAACGTAAGTAAATGCAGAGAAAAAGCCTTCCTTTTTAGAAGTTTACCATGCACGTTTTGTCCTGGTGAATGACAAGAATCTGAACACCCTCAGGGTACAACCCAGCTCGAATATGGGGAAACTTGAAAGAGAAAGGGAAACAAAGATAACTTTCTATATACTTATGCTATATACAGGTGCACCTCTCATGGGAATAGGGCTTCCATTTACAGAAAAAAATTAACGGTCCCAAAGCACACAATGTATAAAACATAAAATGCAAATTCAAACCCGAGTATATGCCTCAAAAGTAATTTTCTAAACATGATATATGCCTCTAATTTGGTGAGGTACTGGTGTAAAGGGGTCTTGGTAGTAAAGATGATTTTATTCAGGTTGGAAAAGGTATGTTCAAATATTCAATAGGAAGGCTGTTAACATTCAGGGTTCCATCTTGCGAATTATGCAGCAAAACTGGAAAATAGCCTGAACTCATTAGCAAACTAACTCTAATTTGATTTAAAAAACTTAATAGGTTGACATAACAGAATCTACTACAGAACTTGTGTAAATGTCTAATCTTATGAACAAGTTGAAAAACACAACATAACTAATACATTAGCTGATGTTCAAACCATTCAAATCAAAATTTTAGCCTTAAAAATTCTGATAAAAAAATCAGTGATTTCTTTAGCAGAGCACAGATGACTCCAGAATAATGCAAAAAAGCATTTTATACCTAATTTTATTGAACATAAATCTGACTATGCTAGCTTGTATACCATGACAATGAAATCTGTGTAATACTGGCATAGCACACAACTGATACCAAAGGATAGGGGATTTTTTTTTTACATTATACTTTCATCTATATACATGGCTTTTGAAATGTGATAAATTCAAAATATCACTATCTACTGTTATACTTACCACCTTCTTCTGTTAGTACACTTATGGGTGCACTCCGAACTCCTTCACCTTTGAGCGTACTAGCAGACACCTCAATCATATATTGGGTATATTTCTTCAGTCCTAAATAAAAATAAAATTGACAAGATGAGACTTAGAAAATATCCTTTAATAATATGTACAAGGATACATATTATTGCATTGTTAGACACATGTCTCTTAATCTTCCAAAAGTAAAAACTAAATGAAAGTATAAATCTTTGAAATAGTAACTACTATTAAGAAGAAAAAATGAGATAGGGTAATATGGACAAAAATTGACCTAGAATATTCTTTCATGTCACCTGAAATAAATTCCTAACTTACTTAATCCAAAAGCCAGAATTTTCATAATCTGTAGAAAACTACTCACACATACCATTGATAATATAACAAGCTAATATTTTGTGGTCACTCTGTCAATATAAATCTAAATATACAACATTATAAATATATATGTATATATATATTTTTACCTTCAATGCTCTGGGTCAAAGAGGTTGTATCTATAGTTCTTTCCTCATTTCCATTACTTCTCTTGAGATAAATTGTATATTTTTGTATTACTCCATTGGGACTACTTGGGGGAAGGAATGATATTTCAATCTTTCCAGAAGAAATATTTTTGTAAGTAATATTTTCTGGTGCACTATCAGGCACTAAATGAAAAGAAAAATAAAATATATCCATAAAACAATTCCATCCTAAAAATCTAATCTGCTGAAGTTCTCAGCCAAGTGGACTAGTATGTGATTGTAATGACTATCTTAAATGAAGTAAGGTGTAGATAAATTACACACTAAAAATTGTGTAAGAAGAGATTTTATCTCAACAGAAAATTCATACAATGATTTTACAGAATAATGCTTACAGGATGATATTTTTATTAAAATAGTTGTAACTGTAATAAGCTATCTTGCACTGCAGAACACACAGATAAAAGAGGATTGAAAAACACTTAAAATGATTCTGCCTTCCATTAATTACTCATATGTGTGTGTATATATATATATATATATATATATATATATATATATATATATAATAAGTTGATAATTAGTTTTGGTCTAAAACAAATCTATGACAAGGCATGTTATTTTTCCGAGATATAATGCTGCATATTATGTATGATCTGACAGCAAAAAAGTCTCCTAAGGATACAGGATATAAGTAAATAAAACACTAGCTTTTATGTCTACTACTGTTTTTATTATATTAATGGTCATAAATAGTTCTCTACATATATTTAAATACTAACACTACATGTGGGATTCCAATTCTGAAAAAATATTGGAATAGATATTTTAAAGTGAATGACTATCTTAATTAAAATATTTACCCTGTCCAGGTGGCTCAGTTGGTTGGAGCATCATCCCTTATACCATAAGGCTGCATGTTTGATTCCTGGTGGTCAGGGCACATACCTAGGTTGCAGTTTTGATCCCCAGCCAGTACAGATACAGAAGGCAACCAATCAATGTTTTTCTCTCACGTGGATGTTTCCCTTTCTCTCTCTCTCTTTTTCTCTCTCTCTCTCTATCTCCCCCTCTCCCCCTACCCTGTTCCTTCCTCTCTTTAAAATCAGTAAACATATCTTCAGGTAAGGATTATTAAAAAATTAAAAAATAATTAAAATGCTGCATAAAATTAAAACAGATTTTTCTTTCAATTACTTGTTGAGTTGATGGGAAAGCTAGAAATCTGTGGTGGCCAAAAAATGAAACAAAGTAAAATAAAACAAAAAAAAAAATAGAGTAAAAACAGGTATCCAAAGATGAAAGCTGGTAGTAAAGCCAGCTTTGCCTTGAAGAATATTGTCAATTCTGGAAACTTTGAGTTTCTGTATTAACAGCTGTGTGGAGTGCCAGAAAAAGCCTTTGACCACAAGAAGGATAAAGGATATCCCTGCATAAAGAGCTACAACCCCATACAAATGCAATTTCAACTACAACCTTATACTAAGCAACTCTAGTGGGCACTTTACATTCTTCTGGAGAGTGCCACAGAATTCACCATGAGAGGTAACTTTTGGACTAGTGCAATGTAGTTCATTCACTTGCAGAGAATGGAGAGAGGGGTGTAAACCCACTATACAAAAGAGGACAGAAAAGAAACTTTTCCCTCTTGCCACTCCTCTTGATGAAGAGATGGGAAAGAAAGAAGAATTATGCAGTTTTGGAACTGCAAGTCTGCCCCAATGAACCTATGTGGCCCAAATCCATGCTGCCTATACGGCATGAATTTAAATTAAAACAAATATGCAATCCTGAGTTGCTATCATTCTAAAGCAAATAGCACAAGTGAACATAAATCTTCTCTAAAGAGACTCAACTTCAACTCAGGCCACATAAATTTCCCACAGATAGAGTTTCAAGGAGTATGAGCTCACTGATAAAAATCACTAAACACCCAAGTAAATTAGGCACCAATAGTTAAAGCCACTAAAGAAAAAATAAATAACACACATCAGACTACAAAAGGTATCATTATTGAACTTACTATAAAGAATAAAAATATGACTTTGTAGTATATTTCAAGAAATAAAACAGATGTGAAAATATGAACAAAAATTCTTTAAATAATAATAGAAAGCATAAATAACCAAACAGGGTCAAAAAAGAACCAGACAGACTTTCTAAAACAGAAAAATAAAATAACTGCAATTCAAATTATCTTAATGTATAAAAGTGGATTAGACAAAGATAGTGAGAAATTTAATGAAAAGAATGGTAGTTTTGAAGAAATTATAAAAATGTAGCTAAGAGAAAGGAAATATGAAAAATATAAAGATGGAAATTAGACATAGAGGTTACAACTAAGAGGGTCTAAGATAATAGAATGAGGAAGAAGAGATATTTGAAAAGATAATGGCTGAGACTTTTCAAAATCAGAGAGATATGGAACTTCAGATCAAGGAATTCCAATAAATTCCAAGCAGAATTTTTTAAAAAATCATATTTAAGCAAATTCATTGTGAAAGTATAGAATACAAAGAAGAGATTATCTTAACAGCACCAGAAAAAAAAGACATATCATCTAGAGAAATGAAAATTTACATTAATTGAAAAACAACTGGAATTCTATATCCAGAAAAATTAATAAAAACAGAATAAAAACATATCCAGATGATAAAAAACAGAGAGAATACATCCCATCTATACAGAATCAATAAATACAATTTTAAATAATGCACTCTTGGCAAACAAAATATTTTCTGGAGATCAAAGACCACAGCTGCGAAGATAATGTTAAACACTGCACAGAATAATAATAATATTTAATTTCCATTATTTAGCAATATAAACTAAATGTGTAAAAATTATTGCCATTGTAGAGTTCTGTTGTTAAAGTCTTTTCTTTCAAAATAAAAATAATGAACGTTTTAAAATTAGTATTCTAAATACAGTGGACATAAAGAGTGCTACTAATAAATTTAGGAAACTAGAGATATAAAATTCTGAAGTCTTGAAAGTATAGATACACTGTCTTCCTACCAGCTGTTACCTGCTATGAAGTGTATTGCATCTAAGGCAGACCTAATAAAAAAAACTGACATAAGAATTTTGACAGTTCCACAAATTTTGGAAGGTTTGTAAATCAAAGCATAGTTTGATGTAGCAATATAATCTACTATGCCTTCCCAAACACCCAAAATTCCCCTTGATGCTGTGTTAACCTTCTGACTCTCACTGGAATCTTGGGCTTGCTGAGAGCACTACTTCTTAGCCCTCCTGGGTAATTGGTAGCCATTTGTTTTTCTCCATGATCCCTATAGCCATAGCACCTGTGAAACGAACAGTTGTATTTATTGCCTCTTTTTGTCATATTCATAATTTTTCTCATTCCTTCTACCTGAAAACTCTATGAGCTACACTTCCTTAAGACAGTCATCTAGTATAAAATTTTTGTGTTTTTTAATTTTTTAAAAAAGTTAATGTTTTATGGCCAAGTCATATTCCATTGTGTAAATGTATCACATCTGTTTTATCCACTCATCTATTAACGGACACCCTGCCCTTTGCAACAACATGGATCGGCCTGGAGAACATTACGCTAAGTGAAATAAGCCAGTCAGAGAAAGACAAGTACCATAAGATTTCACTCATATGCAGAATCTAATGAACAATCTGAAGTAACAAGTAAAACAGAGACAGAGTCATAGATAGCAGGCTGACAGCTCTGGGAGGGGTTGTTGAGGGGGTAGAGGGATGGAGCAAAAGAGAAAAAAAGATAAAGAACTCATGGACACAGACTGTAGTGTGGTGATTACCGGAGGAGGGGCATGGGTGGAGGTGGAAGACAGTATAGGGGAATAAATGGTAATGGAAAAAATACAATAAAAGTGTAAAAAAAATCAAAATAATGAAAAAAAGACAGCCATCTATTAAAACTCTGCCACTTTCCCAAACATCTTAAAAATTCTACCACCTGTTTGACTGACTTCCTCTCTACCATTCCTAGAGATGTCAACATCGATGCAAATGATCTGCCCTACTTCTGTATTCCTTCATCTCTGTAATCCCAACAATCTTTTCCTCTCCCTCACCTTAACCGCTAGCTTTCATAGCAACACCCAAAACCTTGTCATTCACCGGTCACTGCCAGTATTCCTCTCTTTGACAACCCCTTTCTATCTTTCCAGCTTACTGACTCTTGTATTGTCAATCGAACAATTATTTTATCCTCATCAGATCATCACTGTCCATCATCTTCCTACTTATTCAGATCAGAGTTCATAAAATCTCTCCCTAGCAATCTCTATCAACTCCTTTTTTAACCTTTCTTTTCTGGCAAAATTCCAATTTGGATTAAACCAAACTCAGGGCTGGTTCCACATGAGCAATGTAACAGGTGGAACTGTCTGAATAAAACACTATATCATGCTGACTAGTCTCATTTAAATTTATAACCTCAAATATCAAATAAAATCTTCACTGTCTGGAGGCGTGTGTGTGTGTGTGTGTGTGTGTGTGTGTGTGTGTAAAACTTAGTCTCTCACTCTGTTGTGCATATTTTCACCATCCACTCTCTCTACAAACATCCAATAGCCCCCCCTCCTCATTAAAAGGTGATAAACTTGCCTCTCATTTCACTGAGAAAATAAAAACATTCAGAAGAGAACTACATTCCCTTTCTAATACCAATTTTCCTTTAATTGCCTTCTCTCCTACTCCTTTCCAAGGCCTAGGGCCTCTACTTTTGCACTAGATTCCACTCCACCTATCCAGTCAAATGCTTTAGACCTGAAGTTATTTCCTCTTTGTTGGGTTATTAGTTTTCCTTTTTTATTAAATCATTTATATAATTACATGTGAAATGCATGTGAAACCATACATTGTATCTATTACAGTAAAAAAAGACTACTGTTCTTTCAACTATTGATCCATTCTATCTTCCACTTTATATCAAAATTCTTCAAAATTTGCCTTTACTTGTTTTAGCTGTTGTCTTACCTGTCATTCTCTCTTAGTCCCACTTCAGTTAGGCATTTTCCCTCATATTTTTTCCATGAAACCTACTGTTGTGAAGTCATCAATAACCTCCATCTTGCCAAACCATTAATCAATTGCATGTGCCCTCATCTTACTTCACTGTTAACAACATTTGACATAGGAAATGAATTTTTCCACTTGAAAATCTTTATTCACTTGCCTTTCAT